CGCCGCCGCCGCCGCAGCCGTCGTCGCAACAACATCAAGGTCAACACCAACAACAACAACAACAACACCACCAACTGCCGGTGGAACAACTGCCAATACAGCAGCGCGGCTATTATCCATCCCCACCCCACACTGATAACGGTCTCGATAACGACGAGACTGAAAATGCTCAATCCCACCAACAAAAGCTCCCCGACGTTCGTGGAATCGATGTTAATCACTTGCCTAATATTAACAAATGCCCACTAGACGATAATTTTAGTCTAGATTGTAACATAAATAATGGTTCCCCTAAAGAATTAAATACCAACAACACTAGTGATAACGAAAATACTGCCCTACTGCCCCCTTCGCATTTTCCTGAGTACAAGCATTGATAATTATTAATCGATGACAGATAGTGTCTATAAAACATAGTGGTGTGATTTAATCTTGAACTCGCATTTTATACTGAATAGTGTAAATAACGATAAACTATTGATCGCAACATCAAGAACAACAAAAACAGCGGCAAACAGGTATTAAATTATATGAATTAAAATAATCTATATGAAATGTTTATTAATAAACATTAGTAAAACGATTTACTCGAAGAAACGCATCGCTGTTATTCGTATGTCCCCCTTTCCAAGTAGAATATCTTGGACTATTAATCCGGTGGATTGGTTCAAAAGTGTAGGACGAATTTTAGTCGAAGCAGGATAACGACCGATATCTACGATATTCTACATTGTTCTCTTTTACTGAGACGCTCTTTTAACTGCAATCCTACTAGCTAATCCAGTAGTATATCCAAAATCTAATACGTCCTCGGCTTACGTTCCACTTTGAATAGTATTATAAATGCTTTTCTCCAAAACTAATAACTCTGGCTTACACTCTCTCGCCCGCCCACCGGATATTCATCCCCAACTTATTTACAATCTCATTATAGTTGATTGTTTTACAGTTGATTGTACGATATCCGAAAAACAGGAAAATTAGTCGAGTCCAGCCTATCTTTTCTCCCTTTTTTCCCCTCTAATCTTCTTGCAATCGATCGATTCCTGTTTCTTACGATCAATCCCAAAAAAATAAAAATAAAATAGAAAGAACGAATACACACTCACCGATCGTAACTGATTCGTTGCAAGCTGTTACGGATCTTGAAATTTCCACGCAATTCGGGCAAAAACCTGGTCTTTTTCTTCAAACAACGTTCTTTCAAATCGAACTTTCAACTCGTCATTCGTGAACATGCCGACACCACATGTGTCGGCTGTCGATACCCGCCACTGTTCGAGAATCGCAGGTGGCGTTCTTCGACTTGCGTAACCAACTTCAGGCTCTTCTTTACCTAATTTCATTTTTATCGATCACGATCTAAACTTTTAATTTCATATTAATTCGTATCGTGTCGATAAAACCGATTTCCTACGAATAAAAATAGTAATTGTAACAGTAGTGACATTTTTAATGCAACGGTTAAACGTGATACCAATATTGTAGCAGAAACAAAAATTACCTTCTTGTTTTCCTCTTACGTATGTGAATACGTATGTTTTCGTTTACTATTAAAAATTCAAAGGGACTTACTTTTTTATCTCTTCGTAAATTTTACAAAATTGTCAATTCTTTTGGTGAATGATCTTTTAATTTGCTCTTTAATTCCTATTTTAACGACAATCTCGCTACAAAAAGTTCATCTTTCAACAATTGGATATGATGGAAAAACTGTCGCATACATACATAGGAACACAGGCAACTCTCGCGGTGATATGACGAAGATTTTAGGTAAGGTTTTTAGTGATCGGCAAATTTCTCAATTTGTGTTTCGGTGTTTCTCAATTTGTTTACTAAGCCGTAAAGCTTTTCGATCAAATTGTTAAGCTTCGTCTAGTAGTGGATTGAACAACAAACAGTCCGAATCACTTTGAACAAGTTTCGACACAGATCGACAAGACCTCCATGACTTTTGAAAATTTCAAGCTATCAAATTCTATTCGAGGGGATTCGAATTTTAATATGTAATTTTGAAAAACATCGAATCTTTTCGAAACTGAGCTTTCTCGCTTCGCGATATTCGCATGCAACGATCCCGTTCATAGTTATCGTTTTCACCCAAAGATGGCGTTAAATGTAAAACTAAAAATTACTCAATGAAAATACCTATTAGATTGCAGTGCTCTTTGACTTAGCAGTCAGATTTGCAAAGCACATTTGACGACATTAGGAGCTTGCTCTTATCAGACCTCCCGTGTACCTCAGTCTGAAGTCGGATGCGAAGCATATATTATGTACATGCATATGTTGTTATGTATGTAGGTGCAATGTTAACGGTGTTCAAGTCGATTAGCTAGAAGCACTGTAGCACCAGTAGGTACTTTCTCGGGTTACATCGTACCAAGAGATAATTTCAATTGGAATCGCGGTCACGCCGATCTTCGTTTCTTCTCGCGTGAATCGGAATTCGAGAAAAGAGTGGTCGATGCCAAGTGCGATAAAGCGAATAGTTGAGAAATTTGATCAATGTTACATGCACCTCCAACAAAAACAACAAAACATGCCTCCGATACACTTGTGAATTGACTGCACGATTCATGCAGATTCGTCGTTTAGTTAATAAAGATGTGCGTCACAAAAGTTTGAGCCTCACCGTACAATGCAGTCCATTTATTGGACCGGGAGGCTGCTGTCTCGGACGATATGGAATGGCATATCAAATTATACAGCGTGCGCTGATCCTAACGTGAATAAACGCCGCGAAGCATCTTTCATTTCGGCTGTGTGTGGTTTTCCGAAAGATTTTACACGAGGACGTATACGTAAGGGACAGTTCGGTGATGATGCTTGGTTTAGTGCCAAATTCAAGACTGTCGAAGTAATAGGTAATGTTAGTCTGCCAGACCCATGGAAAAACAGTCCTATCGTTGCAACGCGTTGCCCTGTATTCGCACATGACTGATAGTTTGCAAAACTCCTAGATGTTTTACGTTTTATACTTTTTCTTGTCGTTCCAATTATATCCATCGATACCAATTCTCAAAAGAAAAACATTTCGGTAAAACATAAGAATCCTAATCTCGACTATTACTATTAGACATTTTCTCGTCTAGTAGAATTTTACAATTCTTCGACCTTTTTAGGCGTAGCGGATGGTGTAGGCGGATGGAGGCATTATGGAATCGATCCAGGAGAGTTTTCTAGTTTCCTCATGAGAACTTGCGAAAGACTGGTCTCTATGGGCAGGTTCAAACCTTCTGAACCAGCTGGTTTATTAGCACGTAGTTACTATGAATTACTAGAAAGTAAACAACCCATATTAGGTATTAGAAGCAACTTGTGGTTTACACATTTTTTTTTCTTTTTTTTTCATATTTTGTGAAGATTCTATGTTTCCAGGGAAAAGTGAGAAACAAGGTTACATTAATGCGATTAATGTAATGTGTTGTGTGGCTTTTTCAGGTAGCAGTACTGCATGCGTTATAGTTCTCAATAAAGAAACAAGCAGCATTTGTGCAGCTAATATCGGTGATAGTGGCTTCGTAGTTGTAAGAAAAGGAGAAGTAGTTCATCGTTCTTCCGAACAACAACACTACTTTAATACCCCGTTTCAGTTGTCTCTTCCACCTCCAGGACATTCTGGTCTGGTGCTTAGCGACAGGTATTATGCTTTGCGAGTACATTGTCAACTTACATTATGTATTTAATATATTGTCTCGTTAACGTACTTCTCTATTTACAATATCGTATATTTTAATTATAGTCCAGAATCTGCGGATACTTCGAGTTTTGGGGTTGAAGATGGCGATGTAATTCTTTTAGCAACAGATGGGGTATTTGATAATGTGCCTGACCAATTACTTATCACGGAAATGCGTAAAGTTCAAGGAGAAAGAGATCCTACTAAGATACAAGGAGTTGCCAACTCGATAGCCTGGATGGCTCGTAGTTTAGCTTTTGACGGCGCATTTATGTCTCCATTTGCACAAAGTGCTAGAGAGAACGGAATTGATACTATAGGTATGTAAACCATGTCGACGCTTAAACTACCATATATAATTATTTCAGAGCCAAATTCGAATGCGTAGTCTTAATATTTTCCAGTTATAGAAACACATAGTTCTTAATAAAAAATATATTCAATTTATTCGTACCATACATTTCACAATTTTTCTTATGTTCTTATGCATGTACAGAATGTTGTTTACTTTGGTAAGAACTTTGTAACAAAGCAATTTCCCTTCTGTACTTTTTTAACTACTTCTTCATTCTTACATCTAGAATAAAAAGCTTATACAAATATGCTGTTTTTTCCTTCTTCTTTCTTCCCTTTCCCTTCTTTCCTTTTTTTCTTTTCTTACTTTTTACTCTCCCTTTTTTCATTTTCTAACAAACAAGTAGCTATCTCTCAAAGTAAACACATTGATGGTTCAAAAGGGATTTTATTACTAATTTGTTTAAATAGGATAATCATTTCACTTATTGTAGGATAAACAAAACTAATATAAACATTAATGTGTATATCCAAAACATGTTTCTTCTATTTTTTAGGTGGTAAACCAGATGACATTACAGTGCTTTTAGCAACGGTGGCAATATAATAAAGTATGTACAATAGAGTCTTGATCATTGTATTATAGTCCATGTCATTGCGTATATGTACCTAGTTATACATCATGATATCTCGTTATGATAATCATTTATTATTTAAATCTAAATAAATGGTTTTGTAAATCATTTCCCACCTTAATTAATTTTTTCTATAACCGCTATAAAAAACGTTATTTTTCAAAAAGAACATCGATGGTTAAACTCATTTTTTGACTAGCAAAAATTTGCATGTAAGTATACAAGTTTGTTCAAATATATGCAAACAAGAAGTTACAAAAGTTGTTACTTTTGCGGACGGTAACAGTACATATCATATGGCACAATAACATAATAATGCAACACTGTAATGTATTATGAATGAAAACTATGTATCTCGTTGTGATTAAATATTCAAAAAATTACAGTAAATTTCACGAATGTTCGTGTAAGAACAAATATATTTGAAGTTTAATTGAGAATTAAATGCATTCGATCTCTTATACTACTACGTATAGACTAATAACATGAATTTATACAATAATAATTTCAAACTAAATTGAACCATTTTATTTCATCGTAATGGTCATATAAATAACAGTTTTACTTAATATTTACAAAAGGGATACTATCTAGTTAAATCCCCGAGGCTTTCATGGCCTGGATTCTTGCAGTTAAAATTGTTAAAGTCTTCGGTATATTAACTGCGTTCTTTTGGACGATATAACTACAACTTCCACACTTACAGTATACTTAGAGTATAAGATATATTTTTAATTGCGCTAGCAACAGAACATCGCTTATTTTCCAAAAGGACGCGAGTTACACGCGCAAGTCTCTCACAGTTTTAACTACCCTCTACTTAGTAAGTAATACATAATCGTTCAAGTGGAAATTCTTTGTAATACTTTGGCTTTTTGCCGATGTACACATTGTCATACTAAGTTTAACAAATGTATTGTTTTATTATATATAGTAGAATGCAATCATTTGATAAGTAATATGAATACATCACAGTATAACATGTAATATGATATTCTAAATTCTGAATCGAGCAATCAATTGACGGTAAAAGATCATTAGTTTATTAGGAGAAAACAGAAAAACGAAAACAACTACATTTACCTATGAACTACCAACTGTCTTCGTTAATTTACTAGTATCTTTTTCCATTCTTACTCGCAAATTATAAACATCACAAAAAGGGAATGCCATTTTATGTTTTATTTTAAAATTAAACAACACTATATTTTATATTATTTTTTATCAAATGCCCGTGAAAAAAGAAACTGTGATGTATTCTGTTATTTACAATATTATATATCTTCAGACATGGTATCAAATGTATTATTACATAATTAAAAAAGACTGGAGGATTATTTATAACAGGAGAATAAATAAAAGTATTTACATCATTCGATTATGTAAGATTTTTACAATAGAATCTTTTTGAATCAGGGGTTTCAATTTTGTGTTTCTGCAAACATTAAAAATAGTATTTTATACTCTAGTATACGAGTCCTTTCTTGTTTAACAAAATGTTACACAGCAAAAATCTAAAAGTTGTAATTTTCTATTTTCAGTTAAAATTGTATATTGTATCAGGCACAAGATTGTAGTAAAAATTCATGCTGTGCATAATATAATTATTACGAAAACAGTATTTAAACGAATTTTATGATAGATTAAATACTTACTAAAATGAAGTTTCAAAGAAAATTTAGAGTAGGACAGTTTGCATTGTTTTCACATAGATATCTTAAAATTTATACAATATAGAAATTTCGCAAATTATATCTGATACAATCTATGTTAATTAATGAACACAGATATACCCCAAAATATTTCGTTTTTAACATATATCTTATCAATATGAAACTTCTTTGTATTCTTGGAAAATCGCAAGCACTATAAATATATCACAATATAGTCGATTATCTGAGAAATACTGTTTTCATTTATGTATGTTACTTGCATAATATATTCTGAGATACATACAGAAATTTTTTTGTAGAAAAATTGTAACCCCTGTAGAAAATTGGAAGTCTTATCTTTGTTATAATTTTTCCATTACATGTCACATAATGTCAAGGCTGCAAATGTTTAGTACTTTTGTTAGTGACTGGGAAAATCAAGGAACAATGTTGTATATGTAGCAGTGTAAAAGTTTACTTGATATGCCAATTGGTAAGAGATGGTTTGGAAGCAGGACCTTGAATTTAGAATCATTGCATATTGGCTTCTTGACCCCAATTAAATCCACCAGGACGATCTTCAGGCGGTGGAGTATAATCTGGATCTTCTGGGTGTGCGTCAAACAAAGTCTTACTGTGAACAAACAACAAACGATAATATCGCATTTACGACATATAATTTGTAATGATAACCCTTTTATCCAAGTAACTTACAGTATTTGTGGAGTTTTAAGAACACGGAAACCTCCTCGTAAACGCGGAAATACATCTTCTGCAAAGTAATACATATGTCCCACAGCCATTCCGACTAGATCGACCCAAATTGTATTACCAAGAAGTACAGAAAACCCAAGAAGCACCCAAGGCAAATATGGTGCCTATTGATAAAAAAAAAATACATTTAAAAACAATTCACTCTTTTTCCCTCTATAAAATAAGAAATTAAAAACTTACTTGGAAATTTAAAAGTCCAAAAAAGTTTAATCTAACAAATGGGTTTCTCCGAGACCAAACATAAACCAACATAACTGTCAATGCATGGCCCAGGAATAACAAATTAACAAAAAATGCAAATGTCTATAGTAAGCTTAGGATAATTACACATAATACAATATATTGGAGTTATATTTACTTTATCTGCAATTTGAGAAAGACAACAAATGAAGTGTTAAAAAGGATACAATCATACATATGCCCCCAAAAATGAACATCATTACAAAATCAGCTGTTCTTCTGCGAAACGATCCTTCCTCTAACATTCGACAGTATCGATAAGTAAAGATCATATTGAAAAGAAAATTGAAACCCATATTTCCAAAGAATAAAAATGTAGTTATCAATCTCCATAGCTGAAAGAATATTTATATTACAAAAGATAATAATCGTAAAATGCGCAAAGCTGATGGGAAGCTAAGGAGTAATAATTAATAGATACTTGTTTACCTGATATTGTTCAATGATCAACGTGGGATTAAAATACAATCGAAATGGTGATACCAAATCTAGTTGCTAAAGTGGGAAAATAAAAATAATTTGATAATTACATTTTGAAAATGGCATTTTGCAGATATGAAACTATCTTATGAGAAAAACATTTTACAAACCACAGCAAGAGACGTGATGACACAAGCTGTTGTGTAAGCTCGTGTCACCACAGGTATTTGCATGTACTCCTGCCGGAAAGTTTGATAGGCCATTGGTGTATCGTTACGATCTTCTGTACACCTAAAGACCAATTTCTTTTCCAGACTCTTCGCCCTTATTTTTTATTATCACATGTTGCTCATTACTGTGCGTTATCTAAGTTTAATCATTACCCACATCACGACAAATTTGTTATGTTCAGTTTTGTACACGTAATACGTGAAATTCGTTATAATCGAATAACACGAGTTTCGATTTTACATGGTTATCGATAGAAGTTTCGTGGGCTTTTCGCATTCGTGGAAATGTCGCCAAGATGTAACACTTATTAGTCGAACTTATTTAATTACACGTTTTTGTAGTTACGGAAGAAAATTTTCATAAATACGAAAAGATTTTCATGTCCCTAATTCTTATAATTCAAGTTTACGATAGTTTTGTTAATCTCATGACCAAATTTGAAAAATCTACAACTAATTTACTCATGTTGATATATATTTTAATATTTGTTGTATTTTGGCAAAACATTTAATAAAACAGATATACAGGCTGTTAATTTATAACATTTAAATTATCGATTTTTAACATTTAAGCTATTCATTTATAACTAGACCGTGAATTCCTATGGAAGTTCTATATTTGAGAATATGCTTAAAAAAGTAGAATCTCGGTAGAAAACTATTTTACCTATCGAGTATTATACAAAGCACTGTACTTTAAACTTTATTTATTTACATACATATTTTTTCATATTATGTATATTCTATGTAATTTTGCACATTCAAATTTCCTATAAATGCATAAAAATCCGCAGTCTATTTATAACGTTCATGCTATTCATTTATAACAATTAAGCTGTTAATTTATAACATGCTCCCGACAACACACATAAATAGCAATTACTCGTGAACCAAATATGATACAAGAAGCCTTGCCTGTGATATTATCGATCTTTTGTATGTTAAAAGTCATAAAGGTTTACCTATTTAAATTAACTTTACAGAGAAATATAAACGATAATAAATATAAATAACGTGTAATATATATTTAATTTTATTATAAAATCTATACGTATATAATATTTAATGTTGAGAAACACATCATGTATCACATGACACTGGTGACAATAAAGCGTGCTGCCACCTCAGCATCTATGTATTAAGTTTTCAAAATAATTTATCAACTGCATACTGATTGTTCAAAGTTGTTCTTTATTTGTTGGCTAAAATGTTTCAGCAAAGAAAACGCAAATAAGCGTTTAAATCGATAAGTTATTGTGGTAACGTTTTTACATTTTATATGAAAAAAGGGCTAAATATCTTTTGTTTAAATTATTTGTCAAAATGTCATCGAAAACGGAGGTTACATTAGAACATTTTTATATATTCAATGGCACATATGCAAAAAAAGAGGGAGAGGCAAGTAAATTAAATTTATCAATAAAATATTTACATACAAAAATTACAAAATTCTTACACACTACATACATACAATGCAAGTGTGTTCTTGTGTATTTTTTGCATGCAGGAAGAAAAAAAGATTCTCTATTATTATCCAGAAAGAGATTTAGATGTTCAAATTAAAAATATAGGACTCAGCGAAGCAATTATTAAATTTGCGCAGTATGTATGAACATATTTTTCTAGATTCTAAAGTTCCTATCTTTACATACAATATTAAGATTATGTTCTTGCATTTCAAATTTTTAGATCATTTAATCCTGGTCAACCATGCGATTATTGTCATACACATAAAACTCGTCAAATTTATTATCAACCAGAATCAAATTTTTGGATGGTGATGGTAAGATTTTATTGCTATCAGAAAATGTATAAAAGAATGTAGCATGTAATATTTTATATCATATAAAATTCATGAATATTTGTTCATAGATTTCAATTGTTTCATAGATTGTCGGTGTACCTTACATATGGAAAGAGAAAGACGGTAACAAATATACAGAATATCAATACGATGAAGTTTCTAGCAGTGTTTGTCAATCTATATTGAAGCAAGCGTATGTTATGTTTAGACTATTTATGGGATCATTTGACACCATTATTAATGAACCTGATTGTGGGTCGATAACGTTATTAAAACACAAACTTGAACATTTTTATTCAAGGGTAAGGGGAATTCTTAAAATGTACTGTTTCTGTATTTTTCGATATAATTTTCAATATCATTTATTTTTCACAGTATCTAATGTCTTTAAAGCTGAATAATAGTGATATTTTGGATGTTTTCCAAGGCTTACAATTCTTACCTCTTGACAAAATAACATTTTTACGGGTTCAATGTTTTATGAATCTTGTAGAAGCCATGTTTTCTCAAGTGAAATATACTGCATTTCTTTACAACGATCAAGTCGTGTGGTTAGTAATGAAAACGCTGTCGTACTATTATAATGTAATATATGTATGACAATTAAAGAATTAATGCCCGTTATCACTTAGGAGTGGTTTGGAGCCGGAGGATATGCAAGTAGTTTATAATTATCTAGTGAGTACGCTTTTACCAGCTCATCTTGAAAAAGAATTACACGAGGGTTCAATGCCTAGAAATTCACCTTCACCATTTACTACCACTCACTATGGAAAGTCAGTACATGCAAAATAATTTAATATTCTATATATAACAAAATAATAAGTTATATATATACATATATATATGTATGTATATATATATATATGTTATAGATTTGTCACTGGCCCATCTAGTATTAATGAACCAAGCTTAATTGGTAAATCTCCTAAAGTATATATCAATTATTCTACAAAACCGGTGTCGTTATATTTAGTTGTTTACAGAGCATTAAGCGCTACAATATGTTTGTTTGTTGACAGTAAGTACCATTCCCTTTCTTTTCTCTTCTTTTGAAATAATCATGCAGTAACTTTAAAATTGGGGTGCTTATTTTACAGGCAAAACAAGTTTGTTAATAGATTTCTTTAAAAGCCTGGATAGTTTTCTTGGCCCACAATTAACTACACTTGTTAGTTCGGTTGCAGAACAATGCGCTAAACACGTAATAGTTTCGTCGGAATCTTGCAAGTACCTGTATTTTAATAAACTTAATTTAGCATATAAAAGTACAATACATCCGGATAATAGGCGATGTTCTAATGTGCTCACAACGCCCGAAGTGTTGAGAGTTATCACTGATATATATAATGACACCAATAAGTTAGTACATAACACAATAATGTTTTGATGTAAGATTATTATTTTACAAATAGAATACACTTTTTCTTATAATTTCAGATTAAAAGAGGCTGGAGAGATAATTATAAAAACTATGAGCGATTATTGGGTTGTTGGAAAGTTATCGAACTTGAGGGAATTTTTTGTAGTTATTCAACAAAAAAGTGCAAGTATAATGGAAATAGAAGGTATATACGTTGTACATGTATGTATGTATGTATATACATAAAATTATATAAATGTAAGTAATAATTTTTATTTCAGATGACGTGAAAAAACTATGTGAAAAAGAATTAAAAAGTATATTTTTCCATTAATGGAAAGGCCTCATAAATTTACCGAGTATAAAAATTTTACGACTATTTTATATGACAATTAAAATGGCTGTTTACTCTTTTAATTAATATACAAGCAATGTATAATCTGAAATATAACACTGTAACTATGGAAATAATTTATATATAAAGTTAATGTAAAATATAAAATCTTGTACAGACAAATTATATATATTTTTTAATATATTTAAATTGCTTGCACAGCATTTTCCCAAATATTACAACTATTATAAAAATATTAATTTATTTTAAAAACGACCATTAATCAAAAGTTTCTTCCTCTGCATCTTTGTTTTTGTGAACAATATTGGAGAACTTTTTTAATTTCGCTACGAAAAATCCGTCCATATTATGCACATGGGGATAAAATCGTTTGGTTAATTTCAACGAAGGATGAAATCTGTATTGTCTATAACTGGTAAAACCTTCGGCGCCAAATTCCAGTCCAGTTGGTATTAATTTAACATCACGTTTCTTAAGAGCAAAATCAATAACCCATTCATTTTCTTCCGGAAGAATCGAACACGTAGAATAAACGATAATCCCACCGGATTCCGAACGTGCATTAGCACAATCTATAGCCGCCAAAAGTAATTCCTTTTGTAATGTACAACAACGCTGTATATCTACTTCATCTTTGTTTGTTTTAACACTTGGATCTTTTGAAACAACACCAGTACCAGTGCATGGTGCATCTAATAATACTCTATCGAAACCTTTAATCACCTGAAAATTATACATTTTAATTAATTTGACCATATCATATATTCGACGTGTTCATACATATTATTAATACTTACTGTTGGTAACTTTCGCCCATCGTAAGTACAAACGATTGAATTCGTGATGCCAAGTCTGTGAAAATTGCCGACAACTGCTTTTATCCTTTCTTCGTTTGCATCGTTCGAGAAGAGTACACCTGTGTTTTTCATAAGCGCTGCTATGTGTGATGATTTTCCTCCGGGCGCGGCACACATATCAAGAACCCTCTCGTTTTCTTTAGGATCCAAAGCCATAACAGGTAAGAAGCTAGATGCACCCTGAAGAATGTAATGTCCTGCTAAATACTCTGGTGTCGCACCCATAGGAACTTGCGACGAATAAATCACTAAACCAACTTTTGTCCATTTGCCAATAGGATCTAAATTGACCCCTCTGTTGATCAAAGCCTGAAATATTAATATCATGATAAATTAAAGGATATTGAAGATATCTATTACATATTTCATTCAATAAATACTTCAGCTAAGTCGCGACGACGTGTTTTCAATATATTCGTTCGTATCGTCATAGGCCTCTGGACTTCACTTGCTTCCAAAAATTCTAATAACTCATCCAGAGGAAATATTTGTATCAATTTTTCCATCAAGAAATTATTATAACTATAGTATGTACATAAATCACTTCTAAGAAGGTCCATATATTCAGTACGCGATCTTCAAAAAAGATAAAAGATAAAGAATTCTTTGGAATTCTTCGATGAAATAAAATCCTTTAACCCTAAGACATATACCTGTTTATATCGCGCAACCTTTTAAAATCTGATAATATCATAACAACGTCTTTTATACGTTGTTGTACATCTTTCAGATTAGTAACATCTGCAAGCTCTTCTTTAGTGGGAAAAGTAAAGACACATTGCTGTAGGGCCATATCATGCATCTCCTCCTCTGCTAGCTTTCTAATAAAGAGGAAGTTAATTAGATTTTAAATGAAAAGTTTAATAGAATAATAAAACATGCTCACTGTTCTTCTTCTTGCTTCTTTTTCAACTTCTTATTTGCTTTTTCAATAGGAAGTAGATCAACATCATCGTTATTAGAACTATCACCATCTTCCTCACTTTGATCTACTTCCTCATAATCCATTTCTCCATTTTGACCGTATTCTTCATTGTCACTGGATCCTTTATCAGTTTCATCCTCTGTGTCATTGTCAAGTAATTTCTTTCTTTTAATCTTTTGTTGCTCGTCTTGTATTACTCCTTCATTATCAGATACATTAATATCATTGTCAAACTGCATTTGATCATTTTTACGACCGAAACTGTCATTTCTTGGTCCTTCTTTAAGAGATTTCTTCCTTTTCTTTATTTTTAATAGTTTTGAGATATTTTTTATATTCTAATACATAGAACGGTATATTTTACTAATGTTGTTGTGTACTTTATATATATAAATATATAAACACATAAGTTAAGACTTCATCATTAGAGAAAAAAAAGAAATCTTACGTCTTCAGTTACAGCGTCATCCACCTTCTCGCCATTATTTTGCTGTAATTTCCTTACTTTTTCACTTAACTTTTGTTTCTTTAATAATCTTTTCCTTGCTCGTTGCTTCTGTCTATGACTTAACTCTTTTTCTTCTTTTACTAGATAAAAGTTATATGATTAGTTCTCTATATACTCATGCAATATGCAATATATATACTCATACTTAAGGTATATGTATATGTATAAATAAATTTCTCTGCATACCTAGTACTCCCTTTGGAAATGTTGGATCTCCTTGCTTCTTTGCTTTTCTTCCATGACCACTCGACACAGTTGTATCATTAAACTTAGCTTTTCGTCCCATTTTAATATATTTTATGCCGCGATTGTTATTAAATAAGTTTTGATATTTTTATTAAACGGAACGTGATATTTTATTTCGTGTATACAACCTTTACATTTTCTGTTATTACATATTATTATATATGTTATTACATCTATTATTATATATCATTATATTATATGTTATTTATGCAAAGAGAATTAGATGAAGAAAACAAGAAATCGCAAATGTTGCTTACAACCTTTTTGAAAAAGAACACGTGAGGTATAACCTGTCTTTTAATATTTATCATTTAGCTCTACGTAGATATTACCAACTTAAGAAATTGTGAGAATATTATATGAAAATGAAATATTTTTTCTTTAAAACTTGTAGACATTACAAGATGTATGAATATTTGTATAAGAGAGGTTTGTATATTTTTTCTTGCACAATTAGTCTCAGAAGGATAAGAAAATCAAATAATATCATTTTATTGGAAAAAATAGCACGAGATAGGAAAATTGTATGTATTTCGTTAAATGTTCCTATATGTTTATATTCAACGATTCAACGATTCCAATTATTTGGATCGCAGAGTAGCTCATCTATCTTCTCGGATTTTACACGACAATCTATGATTTACTTGTTATCCAGTAAGACAAATTATTATTAACTAATGCTAATGAACATTCATTTGATCGAAGTTCATTATCGAAGGAGTTTATCAAGAAAACAGACGAAATAGTAAATTACTGTAATTCTTATTACATTAATAATAATTGGAAGAAAATATCGTTATGTACGAAGGATTCTGATGTATATAGTACATTGATAGGTACATTGATATAGTACATAGGTTTTTGTATATGCTAAGTTTCGTTTCCGTCAGCAGTTGACCACATGATGCAGCATTTGTGCCGTGAAACAACTAGAATTGCTGTCGGTGAACACTTTTTTTTTCTTATATCACCGACGAGGTACAGGATAGACGTAACATTTGTGACATTAGCCTACCGACGTCTTGCTGTTTTACCAGTCACCTGATCGATCCGACTCCCTATACCATTTTCGTGTCGCATGCGACATTATCGATCGAATAGGTTGTTCAGAGCGTATCGTTGATGCTCTGACGATAAGCCAAGGAAAGGAAAAACGAAAAATAACAATAACGCCTTAGTAATAATAACGACTTAGTAACCAAATAACCAAAACAGTTCTTGTCATCGATAATGGTTATCGATAATTAAAAAGATTTTTTTGAGCATTTTTTGTAGCATCACTATTTTCCATTTAAACAAAAATTACACTTTTGTCCATGACTCTTTTCATAAAAATTTGAGAAATACTGCTTTTAATGTTTGATCCTTGATCCTTTCCAGCGTCTACCAAAAATATCAATAAATAAGACATTAATTTACGCTTGGTTTTAATAATCATACATTATCGTAAAAATATTATAAAAAATCTGCACAGATTACACAGCAACGATAAAAGAGAAATGCTATATTAAGAAATCGAAACACCTGGTATATAAGTACTCACTTATAACGACAAGAATGATTGCTACCTTTGGCTCAACCGTTTATTCATTCTTGCATATACATATATAAAACAGCGTGATGTGACAATAAAAACCGCTTATCTTTCTTTGTTCGTTTATTTCGACATTTCAAGATGTATGGACAATTATTACATAATAATTATATATATTTATATATGTATAATGAGAGAGCATCCTCCTCTCGCAACTTTTCCCTCCTCTTCCCCCAAAAAAGTCCCCCTTGCCTGAAATGTGCCTCACTCACTCTCCCTCACACTCTTTCTCTCTTGTTCTCTTTTTCACAGTAAAAGAATGAAAAGGTAAAAGTAATAAGAAAGAAACGGCGTCGATTCGTCGGGTCTACGGATGATTTTACGAAACGGTCTTTTTTCCGTTTCGCGCATTATTTTTTAATCATTTCACGATCATGAGAATGATAGTACTCCTCCCGCAATGTTTCATTATTTATTTTTTTGTATTTATTTTTATGTTTTTATTCCATCCACGTCATCTTATTATCATTTAGCGTTTACTCGATAAGATTATGAACGTTACCATTAATCGTTACAATTACAATAATAACACTAGTGTTGGTTACTCCCGTACTTGTCTCGCTCATCCATCTATCCCCACCACGTGGCCATCTACCCCCACCCAGGAATCCTGACGACACGTTCAAATACTGAATTACAGTTAATTTTGTTGCACACTAAGGTTGTCAATTATTTTCTTTCTCTTCTTTCTTTATTTTCATATTGCGTGCATATCCTTCGCATTTCGAAAGATCGATAGTAATATTTTATCGATCCAAATACGTTTATTTCTACATATACCGCGATACCGTTTTCATTCTTCGTTCTCCTACCAAAATTTTTACCTCCTTCGTTTTCTAATCATCTCGTGACCCATTTTTGTTCCTTCCTCCCTCTTTCGCCCACACATCACTCGTTTCGTACTCGATATTTTTCGTAATAAGAGTTTTATTTTTGCCCTCGTGAGAAATATTATTCTCGTTTGTTAACTTTTTCTTGGTTAGTTCGTCTATAAAGAACGTTTTCTTCTTATCTCGCGATGATTTTTATTGTTTTTTTACTTCGTTAGTATTCGTCTCGCAATTTATAATTCGTACGTTGTTATCCCGTTTACTAAAACTCCTTTCGTATTTTTTTGTAGCTTTTTATTCTATTCTATTTTTTCTTTTTTTTTTTCGGTTTCTAATTCTCGTTGGAACTTACAAACCGTGAACTGCTGCTTCTCGATAATTAGGAGCAACGATAACGATTTCTCGATCCACAATCTAGTAATTTCTTGTTCCTTCGTTATCTTTCAAATGCAAATTCAAAGTTTGAAATTTCTTTTGTTGAAGATATATCGGTAGCTGTTAAGTTAACTGATTGAGCTGGTAAAAAAGTTGTAGATTGAAAAATCGCGACTTGCCATAGTTCAATAATTAGCCGGATGAGAGTGTGTGCTTATTACAAAACAATAACAATTTATAGCTTATGGCATAAAAAAGCGTCCGAAGGCGAGAAATATGTCGTCGTGCAAAAATCGAAAGGTTTTCGTGGTTTTTCCTTAAAAATCCCTGAATTTCACGCTGGTAAGCGAATAAAAAGAAAATTGAAATAAACGAACGAAATAAGTGAAAAAAAATATAAGTAATTTAAATGAAAACGATAAATACAGAAATTTTAATGTAGAAATATTCATGAGTGTGACTCTTCCCATTTCTTCGAATTCAGAAGCAACCCTCGAGAAATATAGGGAAATTTCACTAGCAGCTTCGACTGCTACTGGCGAGCCTGATCGGGGAAAAACCAACAAGAATGAAGAATATCAAGGCGATCACTGCTATACACAGTTTAATTCATTGCATTTATCCTAGGCGGTTATAATAATAACTGAATTACAATTTCTAAATTCGAAATTGCACATCCGTTACGTATTACAATTATCTCGATTTACAATCTATCGTTATCCTTTATTTTCATTTCACTGGTTGCTTCTTCTTTGTCGGTTGAAACTTAAACTTTTCTTTTCTCTTTTAAATCAATCAAATCGTTAATCAGTAGTTTAAATTTGGCGCCTCAAATATTCTAACCGATAGTGTAAGTATAAATATAAAAGCTACATCTTCCTGTCAATTTATTATCGATTACAGATATTGAAACGAACTGAAAATTAATAATAATAGTTAAGAGTAATAAAAATCCTCGCTGCGAAAGAAATAAATCAAAGCAATCACTTCCCCGATCGTTACACATTTTCTTTTTGTACGAGCTAGTACGTTCTCTATTTGACTAGAAGTTCTATATGCGTACTTATTTATACATAATTATGGCTACTACATATAGGAATACTTAATTAATTATAATCGATAGCCCTAAAATTTATATATTAACTTTTACAGTAATATGGCAACGGCGGTGACAGTAATACTATTTTTTTTTTAAATCTTGTTTTTATCCTCTAGATCCAACTAACGATATAAAAATAATTCGCAAAAATCGACGTATAAAAACAAAAAGAGAAAAAAAGAAAGATTAGGAAAAATCAAAATCGAAACGTAGAAGAAAGGTGTTCTTTCTTTTGATACTAATCGCCGAAAGAAAAAATAGTGAAATTTCTCTTGGCCTTGGCCTACATAATTCAGATTAATTTTGAGAATATTTTTTCTTTCTTCCTTCTTCCCTTTCTTTTTTCTTTACATTTGTAATTATTGTTCTACTCGATTCTTTGGTTCTTTTTGGTCAAACACTTCTCGATATTTTAATTTATATTACAATTGAACAGCGATGAATTGCAATTGCAACTATTTTAAATAAATTTTAAAAAATCCCAACAAACATTAATTATAAATTTAGAATATGATATTTTTTTTATATAAAAGTTTTAAACAAATATCTTTGGTAAAAAGATTTCTACAAAAATTCCCAAAAATTCTGCCACAGCTCCACATTTCAATCGCAATTGCAATTCTGGAAAAGAGAGTGAAATCCTTTCCAAAGAAAAGAAAAGAAACAAAAATAAAAAGTCGTTCAAATAGAAAGATTATAAAAAAAAGAAAAAAAAAACGAAAATTGGTACATTGTGCGATGATTAAATACGAACCAAGGAAAAATAGAAAACGGGGAACTGCGTTTGACTGTACGTGGAATGTTTCGGTCTGCACTGATATTCGTTTTAAAGTCAGTAAGGACTGCTTCGATGAAAAAAGAAGTGTAAAGACACGGCTTCTGTCGATCCGAAAACACTACTATCACTTAATACGAAATTAAGATTTCATCGAATAATTGAAAGCTCCTTAAACACACTTGACCTAATCAAGAAACGTAAAACGTAATTGCGTAAGAAGGTAACTAAATCGTACGAAGAAAATTCTGAAATTCAAGGATCCTAGCTTCGTTGAGTGGAACCTCTTACACTTTTCGCAAATGTAAACACCTCAACGTATGTCCTATGCAGAATGTTTCAGAAATAAGTGGCCAAACTTTGGTATCGTATTCTACACTATACCACAGTTCGGCCACCTATTTCTGAATACCCTGTATATACGTGTAACGTGTGTACGTGTGTGTGATTGCGTCGTTGCGTGAAATTGTGCGATCGTGTGCGTACAGTCGCGTAAATGTGCGTGACAATGGAACGAAACGAAACTGTTGATTCAATTTAAGGGAAAAACAGTGAAGAATTCTTTCTCATGCACGGTGCGCCATTTGTCCATAGCGTTACGAATCTTGCTCGAATCGTTGCCAAAAAATGTTTGACGAATCGGAATTCGAATTTTAATTAAATATCTACGCATCGAGATGTTCACGTCTTTTTTTTTTTTTTCTTTTGCATGCTTTGACAATCTTGCACTATTCTGACCTTATCTATCGAGTTTTTATGGTGTCGCTTAAATCTCACTTGTTTCGATCAACGGCGTTTATATGCTTTTTACACAATTTTAGCGCATTTTTTATTTAGTTTTCTAACCGAAAGGAACTGACCGAAAACCGAATAGTATAATATTATACGTATCCGACAGATGTAGGAATTGTAGATTTGCACGGAAAATAGAAAATATTTTGTACGAGAGAAAAATATACTTTTTTCGTCGGTTTCTTGTGCGCGACTTGTGCGATCGGCGATGAACGTAACATGCTTATTCAACTAAAGTTAAAATAGTTGAATATTATTATACTACTCGTGAAAAAGGAAAATTGTATTATTAGCTTATAAATCGTTTCTTCCCAGGTAGAAAATTAAAGTGTTTGTCAAATGAACAATTTTTAAAGAAATTATTTCTTTTACCAAAAAAATTTTTAAGTTAAACTATCAACTAGGATCATTTGCTATGTTAAAAAATTGTTGTTCAGCTTAATTTTCTACCTGAACAGATAACTATATTCTTCTTTCCCTAATTTACAATAAAATCAGATGAAGGATCTCGAGATTCGAGTGTGCTTCGTGATTGGTCTTTGTGCGATTTACCGCGAAATGTATGAAAAATCTGGATTGATCATTGTGCGCCCTCTTTCAACATATCCCTTAATTCCATATTTTTGATTACGAAGGACTTAACTATTGACCCTTTGACCCATATAATTTTTTTTAAGTAAACAAGTAATATTATACAAGCTTTTGAAGCTTAACAAAGTTTAAAATATGAAATTCACTCATTTGTATATAATTTTTTAGTTTCAAATATCGACGCAAAAATAGATTCTTATATATGACAAATTCACCAGTTCTGGCAGTTAACAAAAAGATCGATCACAGTACTCGGTATTGGTTTAATAGATTGTCCAACGTTAATAGACTGACTCAGTCACAATCGGTTTAAAATACAAAATGACCAATGAGTAAAGGCAATGTTAAGTCCTCTGTTGCAATTAATACAGCAATCAAATCTGATTATGATATAGAAAAGAACGTTTCTTTATTGAGAAATTCATTTTAAGATTGGATTCAGTACTTAAAAGCAGAATAGCAAATAACTGCAATTTCAATCCAGATGTATTTAGCTCGAAGGATTGATTAGCCGAAAGCTATTCTCTATTCTCTTCCAGACATAAAATTCAAATCATAAGATGAATTTCTCTAGTAGAGAAACATTCTTGATGCTGCCGATATTAAAAGTCCTTACACGATTCTCTGCTCGCCTCAAAAGACAATTGGAAGAAGCGATTTACTAACAACACTCCACAACAGATATTATTTTTATAATATCAGTCAGTAATCTGACAAATCTTTCTCAGGGAGAAGTTCCTAACTTCTACAATCCCTGTTTATTGAATTAGAATGACGTCCTTCATTTGCCTTGAACTTTCCCATAAAAGATTTCGCTAACACTTCTCGGTAACAATGAGAACCGTTGAAAATTTCACGTGCTCTTAATTCAATCACCATGGACAATTGAACTAATACTATTAGTGAAACTTTACAATTCAAAAGTTACAGATTATCCTTTCATATCCTTCATGGTAAGAAATTTGTTGATGAAATATACAAGATTTCGCAAATCATAAGTTATTTGATCATTCCGTTCAATGAAAAATGATAGAAGAGAACCCTATAACTGGTGAATTATCGGTTCGCTAATAATATAGTAATTACTAAATTATTATGCAAGAGAATTCAGGAATTGTACAAGTGAACCTACTTACATAGCAGCACTTTAGCAGCACATAATGCATAGCGTTGCGTAAACATTGTGCAACTGCATTCGAATCACTCAGTATGATAAGGAGAAAGGTTGAAAGAGCTGGCACAAAGAGGTGTCTGATAAAAAAAGTCGAGAAGGTATCCGCAGGTGGTCGGTAGTAGTAGCGGTGGTACATAGGTGTATCTCTTTTTCTCGTTCCCGTTCTTTCAGCCGTTCTCTCCCCCTCTGTCACGCGATCTTTCTCTCGCAATCTCGCAACCTGACAATCTCGCAGTCTCTCATTCTCACGCGCTCCCCCGTTCTCGCAATACATGTCTGTCGTGTTTATGCATGTGAGTGTGAGTGTGTGTCGGTCGATCGGCTCCACGACGGCAATATTTATCCTAATAGAGACCGCAGCCACGGAGATTATTGGCGATAATGACGTCTGTGACTGCGTCGAACACGAATTGAATGTTGTCGGTATCAGTAGCGCAAGTCATGTGGCAGTAGATCTCCTTAGTGGTTGACTTGTTTCTCGCCTCGAATTGCGCCTGGATGTACGCGGCTGCTTCACCGTACTCTTGCGCCCCTGCGATCAGACAGACACGTTTCCTTATTATTCATTTAACCTACTGGCGTAGGCCATTCTTTCCTATTCTATTCTATTTCCCTATCGTTACAAAGCTTTTTAAGTTTCAGGAAATAAGAAACAATCATTCTTGGCATGCGTGATTTCTTAATTTTATGCGACAAATTTTCCGAAATTTTGTTATACGCCCTTTATTCGATCAATTAACATCGATCGATTAACATAAAAAATTAGAGAAAAAATTAGAGAAGAAAAAAAAAACGGGAAGAGATTACATTTGGTTGTTTTCGATTACGTTTGTTTTCTTAGTGGCTGTTTCAGGAATTTCTTTAAAAAATTGAAAGTTTAACCCTTATGAACGAGGTTGGTAACATCTGGCAGGAAGTTCTGTTTTAGATTTGCTTTCTTCAGACGGGAGAGGTTAAGGAATGTGCTGCAATATAAATTTTTTGTTTCTTCAGTGAGACAAATTGGAGGGGGGGGGAGGGGGGTGCGGTAAATGAATATTTTCAATTTGAATTGGTTTGCTTCGAATTTGGAAGATTTGGAAGAATCTTTTCTGTCTAATGAACGTTTTGTTTTTATAAATAAGAAAAGAAACCGATAATATTTGAATAGATAGCGTTTAAAATTGTAACTTTTTGTCTTTGAATGTTCTTTGAAAGATCACTTTTATGTTATTTCTTACATATTTCAACCTTTGCGATTACGTAAAAATGAAAAAAGAAGAAAGGAAAGCGAAAAAGAGAATCAAAATTGAAATTATTTAATTTATTTTACAATTTCAACTTCTATTACCTAAAAATAATGTTCACACTCGTAGCGAAAATTCGGAAGATGAACGATACGTATTTAGATCAGTGTACCTCAAACAAGAGGATGTAGCTCTCTTGTGGGGCGTGAAGGAATTCCAAGGGCAGCAACAGACTACGGACTTTTTATAACAATGAGAACTTGCCGCATTTATTTTTACACCACATGTAACATATGATCTTCGCTAATAGATTACGCTATAATTTTCGAAATTATACGAATTTCTTTTTACTGAAATGCAATACGTACTGGGCGCTCTATAAATTATTCACTAGATTAATAAAGCTTAACAAGAACGATATAAAATCTTTCAACTGTAATTTTCGCAATAAATAAAAAAAAACAAAGTTTAATACCGATGGTGAAAGCGTGCATTCGACATGGAAATAGATTAATCTTTAATTTTTCGTTCACAAAATTCTATGGATATAAATGTGAAAAATATTTTCTTACCGGCATATTCGGGGAAGCAAATGGTGAGCGGAGACTTGCGAATTTTCTCCTCGAAAAGATCCTTTTTGTTCAAGAAGAGAATAATCGAGGTGTCAGTAAACCATTTGTTATTGCAAATTGAGTCGAACAGTTTCAAGCTTTCTTGCATTCGATTCTATAACAGATAATTAACATGCAAACATTAATAATAATTAATGACCAAAGATATATAACTATAATGTAACATGATCTTAAATGTACACAATATCGCATGAAAAATAGAGGTATAGAAAGAAATTTGTAAAATAATGTAAATAGCAAATCATTCCAGTGGATTGAAGAATGAGGGGTTAATCAATGGGGTCGTTCCACGAGAACTCGTTAATTTCCAACAATTGCAGTTTATCACGTTTTCTTCCCACGTAGGATTCACCATATGCATCTTCATAAGTAGCGTGTGCATATATATATGGTAGAACAGGTAAAGAGATAAAAGGCACTTAGATATGTAGAGGACCTTTTTCATATACGATTCTGTCAGTGATTAAGTGTTAAATATATTTCATCGTAAGAAGTACTTTATTCTTCAACAGCTTCAAGAAAAATATCAAATAAAGCATAACACTTGGTGAAATACATAACAAAGACATAACAAAGTGTGAGAAAGTTTTCGGGAATGATTTGACGCCAAATGGACCCGTAACTCACAAGTTTCATTGCCTGAACTCGAGAGTTTTCATGCAGGCTAATTCACTGCAATGCAGTGCAAGTATAAAGTAAATTTTTCTTACCGTTATTATTAAGAAAATACAAAGTATACCTAGCATGAGGAAAAATGAAAAATATACGAATATTAATCGTTCTTTAGTAATTTCTTAGCGAAAAAAAGAAAATAAAACATTACAATATATCTTAGATATGTTATCTTTGAAAGGGTCTACAGTTCATGATGCATATAGTATGTATATTTCTATCGTATATCGTACACCTATCGTAACGTGAAGAGGAGACTTTTTTGAAAATCCAAAGACTCTGGAAACTTGTATGTGTTTTAGAAATCCCTTGTTCACTTATAAAGTTCCAAAACTCTTGATATGGTAAGTGGAGATCAGTGTAGTTTAGTTTCCCTTGGCCTCTTCAATTACTCTATTGTTACGAATTTCACCATCGCACCGTGAAATATCACCTGTCCTTTTGTGTATACGCTATGATCTCGTATCACATTAATATATAATTAAACTAGTTAAAAAAAGTGCGAATACTTACCGTCGTTTCGTCTTCGTGCAGGACTTGATCGTACTCGGACATCGCAACGCAAAATATGATCGCGGTAACATCCTCGAAGCAATGGATCCATTTCTTACGTTCGCTTCTTTGGCCGCCCACGTCGAACAATCTGTAAAGAAGCAATGGTATATCGATGAACAAGGGTTCAGAAATTCATTCGATAATTAATTAACAAATTGAAATATGTCAATCTGATTTTATTGATATTTCTATCCTCCTATTACATTTTTATAGAAAATAACATTGAAAAACAATATTACATTTATCTAAATGTAGTTCTCTTAAATTTTATTAAAAAGAGAATAATCAATGCACGTGCGCGCGCGCGCACACACACACACAATTGTGTTTAAACACAATAGAAAAATAACGCGATAATACAAATTTTCAGTTTTCTAATTGTGAAGCACAAAATAAATTGTCAGTTTTAATTATATAATATTTGTGTAAATGTAAATTATATCTCTATATAAATACATAATTATATATAAATAATGTTAGTATACTATTAAGAAAGCTAAATGCAAATGTAAATTATGCACCTATGTAAATAGATATAAATAAGTGTGAAATATATCTACAAAGAAACATTTCTTAAAGTGACATTAATTGAAAGAAGGAATGCATGTGCTCAGTTTCTTAAATTGTCATCCCAATGATTCATGCTCAATCATTCATAAGTCATTGCTCTCTCCCTTTAGCCTACCCCTCTCCTGCCTCTTTACTCACTGAGGCACTTTTTTTAACCACTGAGATCAATGTTAACAATATTCATAATATCAATGTTAATAATATGTTCCTTGATTTTTAATGTTGTTACCATGCCAGAATCTCCAAATATTTTTATCTAAAAATTATATTACTACAGTGTACCGCTATTTATAATTAATTTACGATTAAAAGCATTAAATTACTAGTAAATATGTAGATATTTCGTATCTAAAATTTGTGTACATCATGTATTACATTGCATTAATAAGAACAAACAAAATTGTATACATTATTATGCGCATACAAGATAGGAATAATCATTCGATCGCGGAATAGAAAACAATCTCCTGTCTGTTGTCGGTACACTCTAAAATCTCCAAAAAGATAACATTTTTTTCATATCAGTGGTGTTGACAAAGTTACACCTGTATCCACCTTTGGTCGTAAGAATTGGATCAAAACGAGTCAGTCTTTTACTTTCTTGTCCTTGTTTCTTTGTATTGTATTCATTTTCGTATTAGATTGTAATTGTATCAAGTATATCCTTCTGTTAAATTAACTATTCTTTACGATACTCTATCTAAAAGTTCATTTTCCTCCATTGTACGATTTCAATGCCATCTGGTGGCGATAAGAGAGCACTTTAATATGACATAGTTGAAAAGGAGAATAACCTGTCAGGTCCAAAGATATGTGTCCTTTAAAAATAGACGATAAGTTCATGAAGTTTCGCAGAAGATCAATAATATGGATAATGCTATGGTTAGTAATATTTCTTACGTATGCAGATTTTATGTGTAACATTTATTATGTTTAACGTGTATTATCGGAATCGTTTTTGTGCATTTTACGCGAATAAACATCTGACCCGGGTACTTACTTGAAATTAAGATTCTTGAAAGAAAAGTGGACTTCGACTATTCCCGTTGTTTTAACACGGGTCCTTAAAATATCTTGCTCCGTAGGCTGATAATCCCTGGCCCCTAATCGGTCTAGATCATCCAGGAAACTGGAATTTCAAGGCAAAACGCAGGACCGTTAGTTATATTTTTAGAGAATTCTTCAAAATATCACAGATTAAACGATCTAGAGAACCATTTTCTTAATTATATACGCATATTTAAAGAGAAATAAAAGGAAATAAGAAAAAGTGTTGGAAATTATTCTGAAAAAGTATTTTATCATTTTTTCTTACTATATTTTTGGTTAACTTTTCATTCCTAAAAGATTTAAGATATTTATATAATCGACTTTAAATGACACTTTCACACACTGGTGTAAAGTGTTCCCAGAGACTTCTACAGAGTAAATGACATTCCCCTCGTTCTAAATTCAGGTCGTAACCGAGATCGTGTTCGATCGATTTTCCCACTTCTTGTGATTTAGCATTCATTGCCAAAGTTGGATGCACTTGTAGCCAGGCACAAGCACTTTCATCTTATCGCGCTGCATGGTTTTTATATTGGTTTTCGTGGCTCGCACGTACAGATATCGGCCAGGCTGATCGATATCGGGTGTCCAGAAAAAATGGCACGCTATTAATATAAAATAGCAAAACGTTACCATGCGTTGTTCGATAATTCCTTGTCATTTTGTTCTGCTTATGTTACCGTGTCGATTAATTACTATAAAATGTGGATATTTAGTGTCAATAGGTTAAGAATATTGAAAGTATATTAATAATGATATCACAAATGGATATTAATATCTAATATTTGAAATGTTAAATGTTTTATCACAAAATATTTAATATATTTGAATGTCGAGTAATAATTAAGTTGACAAATATATCTGTATATATCTGTAGTGTATAATAATGATAGAATAATATAAAGAATAAAAGGCAATTATACAGCATTAGAGTCCATCGTTATCTATAAGATATCCGATATATGGTAATAATAATCACAATAGATCCGCAATCGCAACCATCGTAAGTAAGTAAGTATGTACAATATGTATGCAATACGCTAGTTGAGGTTAGATTTACACGCGTGGATCGTCTTTCGTTGTCAATAACTCGAAACGCTGATAACCAATAACCGAGAAAGAAACAGCTTACATTTCTAAGAAATCTCATATTTACACTTGCAGACATCCTGTATACGTGAGTTGTAACGTGACTTTATCACCAGTTGCTTTTCGAAAACATCGTAGATCACCCGCGTTTCGGTTACTAGCGTTTACAACCATAAGGCATAAGGTATAGTAGTTAAAATATATGGGGTGATCGAATACATTTAGCGCTCTCATACTTATATTGAAATCTTTATATCGAACGATATATGTATAGAAAAGTCAAAAGTGTCAAGAGATATAAAACAATCGCTTCAAAATATATGATACAAACAATAAAAAGTATAACGATTACTTTATAACATTCGTTTTCTAATTTAATTATTATTGTTAAAAGCAGTCGTACGACAAGACTTTATGCTTGATAATCATTATTGTTAAGGAAAATTCTAAAATATAATAAAACTCTAAAAAAAATGTTCTCCCAAAACAGGGTACTGGTAGATTAACAAGAACAAAATAAAAAAGTTGTCAGTTTCATGAAATCTCCCTCCTGGGAGACCTATCAGAATTTTCATGTCCTTGCATCCGATTTTCTCGCTTTATCCTAACCCCATTTTTTCCTCGTCTTGCTTGCTAATTATTAAGTGTCCAATTATTACGAATTTCCCAACAACGAGTGATGTTTTGTCCCTATTGTTGTACGTTCCACCCCGTTGTGCTTCAACATTCTTGCGTATCGTTATACACACATATTTCCTTGTGTCTCTCTTTTACTCTCTCTCTCTCTCTCTCTCTCTCTCTCTCTCTCAGATCGTACAGAGAACAGAAAGAGAAGCAGCGATATTAGAATGAAAAGAGAAACAATTGGGGTTGGGGGGTGAAAACGAGGGAACATAGTAAGGCAGAGAAGAAAGAGTGGTGGGGATGGTGTCGGCGGCCATTTTAGGCCACGTGACACGGGCGTGGCGTGACGTCATTGACGATCAATACGCCGCTGAACCTAAATAAGAGAGAAAGAAAAAGGGGAAAAAAGACGAAAGAGAATGCTCGGATCCCTCCAGTTGCACTATTTTTTTTTCTATTTTTTATTGCCTACATTGCCTGGCGAAATTAGGTTCGTCTCGAGTGCTGTGTCCACCGGTGGTTTACGATCGGTAAAACTTGAATTAAGCTTTTAGGTTAGATCTACTTACGTTTCAGAACGTTCGGACTTTTGGAGCAATTTGGAGTTTTATTTCTCTCTTTCTTTCTCTCTCTTCGATTCGAGTACAATTGTCTGAATTGAAATTAACGTTACATATAGGGACATTTCTGGAGATTCAAAAGAAAGATTACGCGTACCAGGGTATTGACAATTTGTTTTGGAAAAATTTACTTTCCTGGGAGAATATGATTTAGGATATTGTAAACTATACAGATTTGTTTGTATAAACTCTTTCTCTGTATATTTAGGGGCACGTAGTTTTGTTAGTGTATTAATAGTGCGAATTTAGAAAATTTTTATATTTTCAATATCGAGGATCTTATGATGTACTGTTCACAGAACCTTATTTATGAAAAATGGCGCAATATAAATAATAAAAATATTCCAAGAGGATTTTAAGCTTTTTTTTTTATAATAAAAAAAGAAAAGAGAAGATATTAAAAAATTTCATTTTACATGCTTTACTGTTTTTTTCCAAGCAATTATTTCGTTTTAAGTTATAAGTCAAGTAAATAGTAAATTTAGTCCCACCCGATATGTAGTTGTAGTTATGTCTGAATCTATCTACTTCGTATCTTGTAAAATCTAAATTCGAATTTCAAACTGAGATTAACACATCAAATTATCAGATAATAATTTTCTTCTAACCTTAGAGAACGTTATAATCTCTTTTATTTGTTATTTAATTTATTTTATTTAAAACAATTTTTATCTTTCCATTTTTATGTAACGTAATTTAATATTTCTAATGAATGTTGATAACTAACAGAAGAAAATAGTACTTTTATGTCTATATGCATTAGAAAACATACGAAAATATCCGCAGAGGAGTAATGCAATAAATCGTGACCCTTCTGTTCGATGCTTGTTGCTACGCACACTATAATCAGGACACAACAGGTTGCTAACAGAGACTGGTCATTAAACAATTTGCCATATGACGTCATAGTACCTACCTCGTTCAATCGCGAAAATCTAACGAATAATTTCTATCATTACTTACGCGCCGACTTTAATAATTAACTAATAACTAACTAACATAAACTGAATTAGTTATACATTAATCATAAGTTTTTACCAATTTGTTGATAAAAAGACAATATTTTAAATGCATAGAGACACGTATTTTGCGACGGATAATGTTACTACCATCAAGATTACTATCTCCGAGGATGTGTCATGCTTTCTAGATGGATTAGATGTAACCTAATCGCCATCTATTGTCTTCATCACGGAATCATTGCCATTGTGCTTGCGTATTCTATGTGCTGGCAGTTCAATATTCAACTGGATATAATATTTTTCAGTGACGTGTCACATCAGCTTTTAGAATTAAAATATTATTATGCACACAGGTTTGGTAAATTTACTTAAGTTTGAAAATAAATCTGCATAATACAAGATTTCACACAGATTTGGGTTTTATGTTTAATATAGGCGGAAAAATATAAATCTTCTTGAAAATTTTGAAAATTATTTTCTACGAAAACTGGTAATCGTGCGAACATTCGTGTAAGAAAATAGCAAAATAAAGCAAGGTGTTCTATTTTGACACGTTTTTTCTAGAACGCAGAGAGAGTATTTAAAAGGACGAATTTAAATCTTTTTGAATTTCGATTTTACGAACTAAAACATTAAATTTGTAATAGCGTAAATTGATTGGAAATGTTTCATTTTCTGCGTTTTCCAATTTCTCGATTTTAATATTCTTTACGGTTAATTATTGGTTTTCTTCGAATTAGAAGTTATCGTCTCCTGAATAAATAGTACGAGTGTAATGTATATTGAAACGATAGAATTACAAATGACGTTAAATTACTGATCTCCGGCCAAACAGTAATTAATTTCTTGGTGGCTGGCAGGTCTCGCTGTTGAATATGAATGGAGCCGTGAAAGCTTCAGTTTCTATTAGATTTGGATCTACTCCAAATTAGGCGTTAGAGGTACCAAGGACTTTGGCAGATTCTCCCTGGGTTATGTTTATTTGTAAATATTCTCCCTATAATAAAACCGTGTCGATGGTCGAGTCAAGAAACTATAGAAAATCGAATATATAGAAATATAATAACGTAAGATTCAGAAACGTGTCAACGCTTGTGAATTTTTTCGGAATTAATATTTTGCTTCCTTTTCTTCTTATTCTATGTTTTTTCTACTATTATCAATTTTACAATTTCATCTTTCATCTTTTTCTATCTAATAACTGAAGTTTTTTTTTTTTTTTTTGTCAGTAGAAACGGTATTGAGGTCTTAGAGACGAGGATGATCGATCGATTTCTTTGAAAGTTCAATGAAACATTACTGATGTTACTGACGAATTACCTTCGAGCTAGGGCTGTTTCTCCAAGATTTTGCAAACTCTAGATTTTATCTAGAAAAGTTATAGATTGGTAAATAGTGGATGTGACAAATTTACTCACTATTTCGCCGAGTCGTTGAGTTGATACTCGTTGCTCCTGCCAAAGCATTCCTGGACCCCGGTGTCGGCCCAAAGTCTATTCATCGCAGCCAAAAGCTCCTCGCTGAATGGTTCCGTGTCCTCCATTCTTTGGATCACGTCGAACACCATTTTCGCGTCCGGCTGATAAGCAATTTTCAAGTTAACTCGATTTACAGAATACATATATAGCAGTTATTGTAAAATAAACATCGATAACAGCATATTTTTCCAATATTAAAACAATATTTTGTATTTTTCTTTTGTTTAACCGATGTTTGCTTGTTAACGCTACAAAGATCGCGTGGGTTAATTTCGATCTATCAAAGAAATTATCAAAGAAATTATCAAAGGAATTAAAATCAGTTGAATTTATGCCAGAAACATGTACGAAGAAGTTGTTCGATTTACTCATATCGAAAAGAAAAAGGGGAAAAAAATACAGAATAAAAATTTGCCGATCTTATACGACTTAATTAAAAAGCGCAAGTACTATCCAAATTAGGTTAAAATGGTGAAGTGGATGTGCACTCTAGGCTCTTTTCGAATGTGCCCTTGCCAAATGTTCAACAAGTGAACACTACTTAAACACTTAAGATGTAGCAAGACGAGCAAGTGGAGGTGTATACGACGTACATAAATCTCGTTATACGTGTGCCAGTATTTATTATGCTCTTCCCTTCAACGATTTTAGAACCGCGAAACATACGTTTCTCTATTGTGTTTTGTTCCCTTTCTTTCTTCCTTTATTTATACCTGAAGTGTATTATTTAATTATAACGTTGTCTATGTATTTCTCATCTAACGAGAAATACCTATTATATACGTTGGTGCTTCGTATTATATAAAAAGAACTTTTCGAAATAACGATTATACCAGAGATTATAAAAGATTATAAGAGGTGAGAGAAGGTGTTACCGTTGATACGAGTTTGGACGATGTAATTTAATAGATAGAAAAGCGGAGAGGGTGGAAGAGATCGTAATAGAATAAATTTGAAAGAAATGATTTGGTTTGACGTGTAAAAAGAAAAGAAAAGAGTCTGTATTGTCACACGCGATCAAACTTTAGCAATATTTAACGAGTACGAGGAGAGCTTCGGCAGCATGTTCATATCTAACGAGAGAAAAGCATTTTGTTTTATTAAAACCACTGGAAGAAAACACTGGTTCGCAATGATACTTGAAGCGCGTCGTGATAACTACGGAACGAATCTGACCAAAGCCATTCCAAGCTACCGGAAATACTACAAAAGCTTGCATGAAGCTTAAGTATAAAGCGAAAGTATAAAAATGGTACGAAATGGTATTGGGCGTGGAGGGAGGGAACAATCAGCTCATATTGCCTAATAAGAAAAATATTATTAATAAACAAAAAAAGGGGAAGCCTACCGAAGAGAGATGAGATTGAGAAACACTGGGTTCGAGGAGCCGGATCAATCGGCACTCGAGGCAACCCATCGTGCTCGTTGTTTTCGAGGCAGGGGCTCGTTTATTGGCTCTAAGGTAAACGACGCAGCCGCGATGCTGCACGATCGGTAAATATGCCGAGGAGGGTGCTTCAGAACCAGGCTCGAGATGCGCATCGATCGTTTAAGTGCTCGGGCTATCGATAATTTTTGACTTCCCGGCAGACCGCTAACCTTTACCCTTTAATTTCTACCGCTTCCGCCGCCTACTTCCGCCTTTCGCTTTTCCTAACGGAACTCCGTCTATTTCGTAACTTTGCAGATTTTTGCCTTTTCTTATCTACTTCTATTTCAGAAGAAATTACGAAGCTTATCCATTAATCCTTGATTCGGTTTTTATTTAATCGTGTATATATATGTCTATATATGTATATATATATATATACTGCAAGTCTATATATGTATTGCAAATCCGATTTCCTCTTCCCAATTATGTCACTCGTCTAACAAACCGATCGCCTTAACTCAATTTTTCGTGTCTCCTTTCGAAAGAGTATTTGCTGGAGACACGAGTCTGCGAGTGTCCTCGCGTTTGCGTCTGAATTGTGTGCTGCTTCGGCCCTGCTTCTAGAATCTTTCCATCTTGTTTTCATTTCAACGAAAACAAGGTGTTTTAATGTTGGAAAAAAAAAAATCTTGACCATGACGGGTGTCGGTAACCATTGCTTTATAGTTAGCTGACGCTTAAGAAATCGTCTAAGAGTACTATTCGGTCGAGAACGATCCAGAGAATACAGCAGAGAGATAAAGAGAACCCGATCACCGTAAGTATCGGTTCAACTTACCTCCCGTTCATTGGTCGAAAAGTTGATGTCCAAATTCGGCATCGCTCTGAGAATAGCGACTAGAGATTGTATCGTGTTGCTGTATACTACGGGCCTGTACTGCTTGAAGTCTTCCGGTGTAAATCCGCTTTCATGGATAATTCTGGGAAAATAAATGACGGGCATCTTGTTAAGGCCAATTCGGCATAAGTCATCCATATATTCATGGTGACAGGCAATTAATTTTATTCGGATTTCTACGATAATATAGATAGTTTAGAGAAAAATTATTATCAAGTTGTACTCTACGTATTATTTATTTTTAGATTTCTCTACTGAAATTGTTATATCGAAACGTTGTTCGTTTTAGTAAACTCTACTTAGTAAAGATAGTTGAAAGTCGAAGCTAACTTCATCCCTACATTAGAATTTCATAATAATTATTTCTCCTTGAACACTTTTAGGCATTTTTGTATTAGTAAGTCGCCGGTAAATTAGTAATCCAGAAACGTTCTCCGCAGTTGAACACGCATGCCTTTGTTCATGGGACACCATGAATGGGTCCATTGACTGCAAAACAAGATTTCAAACACGTTCTACCAGTCGCTGGTCTTTCAACGCTGAAATGACGGATTTTTCGAGGTGAACAACCGATTTGTTATAGCGTTAATGAAACTCTTTTTATTCTGCAGAAGATTCGATATAATAATTTACACACATATTTTGTATGTATGTGTATGTACAAGTATGCGTGTACAAAAAGTTAACGCGACTCGATTTACATGTGATTTTGTAATTAAAGTACGACGGAGGGACCCAAACGAACCAATGATCGTCAAGTTTTACGCGTAAACGAAATTTTAAATCTCCATTTAGATTGCAGTTTTTTTAATTTCGTTCGTAAAGATACGAGTTTGCATAAACATATTAAAAAATTTGTTAGCTGCTTACTTCATTTGTTTAACGATGGTACTTTTCCCAGATTCTCCGGCACCTGAAAATTGAAAAGAATCGGTAAGAAACGCAGAAAAATATAATTGGCCAACGTCACTGGATAGTAGGTGATTCATAGGTCGTTTCATTTCATTTCATTCGTTTAATCTTTATCTATTATATTAGTAGATCTTTGTCGATGAAAGTTGTCAGTTTCGTTCGATTGGAAATAATAATAAGAAACGACGAAACTGAAATTTCTACCGAGGCAACGTAAGAGTCGATTTATCTATGCCTGTATAATACTGTAAAACTGTGGAGACGAAAATGAAAAAGAAACTGTTGAAAAAATAAAAAATCAAAGAACACGATTTGTAGGAAAAACTAATAGCCCGATGTCTCAAAATGAGATGGTAGGATAACGTTTAAAGAATTGGCCATAATTTCCTACTAAATTTTCAGGCTTATCTCATTTTGCCCACAAGTGTCATAATATTTATGTACAGGGAAAGAAGTGCGCACGGGCGGAAGCTGCGGCCCGGAAATGACGTGGCGCACTGTGGCAGCGGAACTTGTTTTCCTGCTTATGGGTGGCGAGTCTCTCCCCCTCTTTTAAAAAGCTCTTTCATCTGGAACCCGTTCAGTCTACTACGTACGCTACTTCTGTCGATCGTCTGGAACCGGTCGGATTCTACTTTGCTCGAATCTGGCACACAGCGAAACGACATGTCTCAACATCGTAAACAACTCTGACGACATCTTCGGGATGTCGAAGCTTAACTATCGTGAATTTATCAACTTTCGAATTCTTGTTCTGTTCTCAGAATTAGGATACAGGTATTTATGCAAATTCACGTTTCTATAAATATGATTTCCAAAAAAGAAAAAAGTGGAATCCAACTAGAGAATTGTTTGATCCACTACGTTATCGTTATATCGATAACGTAACGATACTAAATTAGAGGAGGAATTTCCAACTATTATATGAAAAAAGAATCCCTAAAAATCGTACTTTTGACGATAAAACCAATTGCGTCATCAAATTGATGCCACGAACTCATCAAGTTGATTCACTCAAGTCCGGTTATACTCGAAACTATCACTGTGTCACACTTGTCATAACGCGTATGTACTACTCAAACTAATTAAACGATCGTTTACTCAAATGGTTTTATTCTCACACGAGAACTCTCACATTCGTTAAGCCTTCGAACGCTTAGCATCTTTTACGAGGGTGACTTGATAAAGTAGCGAGAAAGCTAAGAGAGATGAAAGTTGTATATGAGAAAACAATAACTTGTAAAAGAAAATTTACGTGAAATTATTCGGATACATATCATATACACACACACACACACACACACACACACACACACACACACACACAGACACGCTCGCGCGCGCATCCTGAGCGATACTTAATAAATTCAGAAAACGCAATTATCGTAAACGGCGCCATTATTTATACCCTATCGCTTTTATCGCTATTCCGGTTAATATTACCGATATCCTCGTTTTGCTTTCACTCTATTTGTTGTTACGTATGTTATCACGAACGATACGAATTTTACGATTCTAGGCAACATCGTGATCGACGCACAGTGTAATACGAACGCCAATAAATTATCGTTCGTGTGCTACAGTCATTGGAAACAATGATCGTACGTACTGTCGTTCGTATTCCTCACGACGATAGAGACACGTATTTAACAAACTGAAAACTTATTTTCCAATTTACAATTCGTAATACTACGAAAATTATCTGCACATATCCTTATTCTCCGATAACGCTTCTCTTTTTTCACTTTAGCGATGTTCCAAATTTTTTTAAATACGTGAGTTATATTTTTCTGAATATATGCACACACACATATGCACACGTATATATAAAAGCCACAATTAGACTATGGACCTTCAGGCAAATTTGTATTTTTGAAAATTTAATTACAAGCTTCTGTTAAAATGGAGAAGAATTTCGTTATAGAAGAGGAACGTTGAAAGATTTTTAGTGGCAATAATTTTTTGCGATGAGAATCAAAGTAGATAATTGAACAACTTCTCAGATTTAAGTATTATACCAGTCTCGTTCAAATGTACGAAGAAAGATTCTGGAATACAATACGCTAAAAATACAGAGAATCGGTCTATACAAATCTAATTTTACATCGCTAAAAGCTAGGTAGTTAATTCGGCAATTGACTTATTTCTAGATCCGATCGAGTCTTTGCGATCACGATTTTAATCGTCATTTTCATTTCATTCTTCTTTTTAATACGACATTTGAGCGATAAAGAGCTTGGAGATATAACAGATTTATTAAACCTGCTCCATCAAGCTACTTTTTATAGTAAATGTTATACTCGTTACTCCGTTATTTTCGAAATTCCTGATAATCCATATTTCCTATATAGAGTTTTCATTTCTATTAGAGTTATTATTTCTTAATTTCTTAATTTCGATATAAATTTCATTCAAACGCTAAACACAACTTATTTAACTTAACTAAATGGCCAATCTTCGTTACTTCGTGTTGTAGATGTATCGATATCTAATAGAAATATTCCTTTTAGTTGCAATAGCTATATTTATGTAGCAAATATAAAACGTAAATGTAATAAAAGTATTTTATAGTAATAGTAATTTAGTAATTTTATAGTAACCAAACGAGTTAACGCGAGTTAACGCGCAGATGTTGAAGCATCGGGTGAGGATCGATTTACGAAAATTCTCACAATTCGATCGATCGAGGCAGAAACAAAGAATTCCTGATTTTCTGCTTGGTATTCAAACCCGAGATTATCCGAGGGAAATCTGGGTCCTGTTTATTGGTGTTACCAATGACGTCATTCCTTTTGCTTGCGTCTTCCACGAGTATTTTCATCCCATTTATGCTGCAGGAAACGCACACGGTCGCTCTCTCTACTCCCAGTCTCTCTACTCCGTCTACATATATCATTCGCTAATTCGAACGCGAGTTTAATTTCTGTCTGTCGATTAATAACACGCGTGAAACAACCGGAAAGCCGGCACTTTTTTCTCCCAAATTCATTTCTTTCTTCTCATTTCTCTCTCTCTCTCTCTCTCTCTCTCTCTCTCTCTCTCTCTCTCTCTCTCTCTCTCTCTCTCTCTCTCTCTCTCTCTCTCTCTCTCTCTCTCTCTCTCTCTCTCTCTCTCTCTCTCTCTCTCTCTCTCTCTCTCTCTCTCTCTCTCTCTCTCTCTCTCTCTCTCTCTCTCTCTCTCTCTCTCTCTCTCTCTCTCTCTCTCTCTCTCTCTCTCTCTCTCTCTCTCTCTCTCTCTCTCTCTCTCTCTCTCTCTCTCTCTCTCTCTCTCTCTCTCTCTCTCTCTCTCTCTCTCTCTCTCTCTCTCTCTCTCTCTCTCTCTCTCTCTCTCTCTCTCTCTCTCTCTCTCTCTCTCTCTCTCTCTCTCTCTCTCTCTCTCTCTCTCTCTCTCTCTCTCTCTCTCTCTCTCTCTCGTGATCATTATTTTCTCACTATCTTGGTTTACGTTTAAGTTGGCGCTTCCATTTTTTATCAAAATAGACGAAATTCCATTTCTTATGCAATTAATATCTCGACTAATCGATAATACCGCGAATAAGATAATTTATAGAATAGCCAATTAATTTTAACAACTCTTGCGAAGAAAGAGACATAAATAAAAATCTTACATTTCAAGGAATTAATTCTTTCGTAAATGAATAACGCCGAACGCGAAACGATCGTAGAGTATAAATTAACGTTGGCGATTTCTCCGATTTTCACAAAGCATTTGTCACTTTTCACAGAGAAAAGTATACAAATAAACAAATAGAAATTAGATAAAAGCCCTATTTTCCAGGAAATTAATTCCTCGTTGGCGCGAAAGTAACGCGATTGTATCGGAATCAGACATTTTGCAAGAGCACGTCCGCGATAATAATTGCACACCAATTATCATCTGGTTCGTTAATTTCGAGTCACGTTATCCAGACCAGTCGTTAAAAACAAACGACAAAGCCGGGCAGAAACTGAATTTACGAGAACAGCCAACCAATTAACGGAGATACTCGAATCGCAGGGCTCTCTGCTGAAATTCCTTCGAATCGAACGAAATTTCTCGCAACACTCGCGGATTAAGTAATCGATTAATTATATCGTTCAGCGTTTCCTATTCGACGTATTAAATCATTATTATAGTAATATAAATTAAGAAGATGAAGGTTTTTAAAGATATGCTTGGATACTATTTAAGAAAATTATTAATTATATTATTATACGAAGATCGTACAAAATGTTCAGATTAAAGAAGCTTTGGCAAATCTATTCAATTTTATAGCGTTTGAAACTTTTATATTTAACGTTCGAATAGACACGTTGCCCCCATTAAAAATACGTAATTACATTTAACAAAGATTTTGTTTAATCCGGGCCCAGAACAAGTAATCCGGAGACGAATTCGCTCAATTTTATTAATTGGGACAATTGTTTGAACGCGTTTAATGCATAAATGCTACAACAAATCTAACCACGTGCCAAATATAACTTTTCGTAGCAACTGTCAGTTACGTTTGCATCTTTTGATCACACGCTCGCTCGGTTAAGAAAAACGCAGTTCGTGAAAAAGACTAAATTTATTATGTTTCTTAACGGTTATATCGTAATTAGAAAGGTGTTCTTTAAACAGCTACGAATGGCCAGTCGGTGATCACATAACGAACACCTGTCTCTTTAGTGGATCTATATTCGTTATTTATACCGTGATTAATTTAGGCTCGGTATAATTTAATTTAAACATCGAGTCTCGACATCCTACTTATACATGCATTTAACTTTTCTTTATTTATAATGTACAGAACCCTATACCAATTCTGATTACTTTAGATATTTTACAAGCACAAATTTTGTCATTCGATTGTCCGAAATATCGGATCGTCGGGTCTTTCTGCAATTACTCGGCCAATCGAGATTCTACTGTACTTATTAAGTATTAAAATGTTCGAACCTACTCGCGATGTATGGATACGGGGCGTATCCGGAAAGTAAGTTTCATTTGGCTATTAAAGAACAGCAGAAATTTATTTCCCTTCCCTCTTTTTCTTTTACCCTTGCTGGGACTAACAGGGTACCGATTTTTCTACCCGCGCTTCATAGAGAACGATGGCGCTTGAACGTGTAGCCAGGACCCCGGTTAAGGTGGTAGCCAACGGGTGCATATCTGTGGAAATTCCAACCGGTGTGATGCAACTCTGACACTTTTCATTCGTGTTTCACAAATTTTACGGTTCCTGCCCCACGAAATTGTGTCTGAAAACGTGTGAAGTTGCTCGAGTTACATCGACGCCGGGTGTCATTTTAGGCGACACCGGCAAATCGGAAAGTCCGACCAAACTTGAAAGGGGGGGGGGCTAGGTATGGTAAATAAATAAATAACAATACGAAGCGAGGATAGAGATACAGGTGTCCCGTTATGACAAACGTTATCTACAATGATGAAAACTTTTATCACTTTTTAAGTAGTAGTTTAAGAGTAGTAGTTTAAGGTTTTGGAAACAAATTTCTGCTTTTCTGTAATAGCCGATTAGAATTCGGGAACCGTCCCGAATACGCCTCGTATAATGTACATATACTCGAGACCATTACCATCCATCGTCTTACCTCGAGTTCCTCTATCTATATCATTGCTACCTAAAAATATAAATGCCGTCTGTACATATGCAAATAAACTCACCAAGCAGTAGCAGCTTGATATCCTTAGCAGCCTGGATACCATCCTCCTTCAGATTCTTCTCGATCTGCTTGCTACGGGCCAGTGCGGCCCGCTCTTCAGCGGACATGGCGCAGCCCATCTTGCCACAGGTTGCCTTCACAAACGCCACCACCAAGCCTCTACCTTTCCCTCGGCGGCTAGGAAACCGTTACTCTACCCTCTTCGTGGCCACCACCACCACCACCACCGCCCAACCAGCACGGCTCGCGACTCACGTCGCAGGAGTCGTAGCTTCTTCCACGGTCGCCTC